TGGAGCATGGATTGAAAAGAGCTGGTGGAGAGGCTGGGCCTGAAGGGAATGCTGTGCTGTGGGACTGTGTTTCTGGAAGGCTGCCGAGGCAGGTCCAGGTACACATGCATCTGTGCTGCCACTGAATTGAGAGTAGGATTAGGTCACTCCCAAAGGGGAGTTACAATGCCTGAAAAAAATGAACTTCTGGAAGTAGACTAAATTCAATAGAAGTCTAGCAGAGAGTGATAAAAATGGTGCCTCACTCTCACTACGGCTTTGTAGCCTCATCCATTTTCTGGAAACAAACGGCTCCCTTCCCAGTGTGAAAACTTCAGGGATGTTAAGCAAATAAGTCAGTGAAGCTGGCTTTAAGTATCAAATGCAGGAGCAGAGGGACAGTGACATGCTTGTAAGCATACAAAAAATTAGATTAAAAAGCCATTTACTGAGATGCTTTGCTTTCCAGTAGTGTAAAAGGAATTCAGTGGATGTACACGAGCATCCATACATGCAGATCCGRGCAGTGAACATGGCACTGTCACAACTCCAAGGAAAGTGGTTTCATTCCATGTGCTGAAGGCCTGCGTGAGAATTACTGGCTGCTGGCATCAGTCTCCAAGTCTCATTGTTGTGGATGAGGGAGTCAGTCTGGATGGTGCTTGGCACGGAGGGAGGGTGGCGGGACCRGGGGGCACCGAGGAGCCAGGGAGCTGCTGGCACAGGCGGAGGCATTCACCAGTGGGCACTGCCATACGCAGTGATGCGGAGAAGCATATGCAAGCAACAGAGGCAGGGGTGAAAGAAGAAAAACAAAATGTGCCATAAATATCTCTAGAAAGAGCTAATGACTGATAAATGTGTTGAATAGAGACAGCAGAAATCATTTTTGTGGATTAATTTGTATCTCTATTGATTCAGTCAGATGCCTCTTGGCCAGCATTTACTTAATGATTCCCATTCTTCTTTCCATCTCAATCCTTCTCTTTGGTGCCCTATCCATAATCCTCTCCTGTAACACTTCTCATAGTGCGACTGGAATAAAAAGGTTTCCCAAACATCAATGAATTACTGTTCACAAATGACCTGTGAACCAGTCTTGTAGATGTATTCATAATGTGCTATGGATAGACTTGGGATTGGTTTACTGTGTGCCATAGGACCTACACTGCAAATAGGTAATGGGGGGCATTCTAAGCTCAAGTGCGACTTGGAAGAAGGGAAGGGGGGGGGGTAATTCTGGTTTCTTCTCAAAGGTGGAATTAGGAGGCATGAATAATCAAAATACTCAGAACATCATGTGTAGCTTTTTGGAAATACAGATCATTGTAAAATATATAGCTGTCCTGATGCACATACAAAATCTGTGTCAGATTTTGCATGTAGAAACATGATTTTGGGGAATCCAAGAGGGGGGAAATGGTTGGAGTTGGTATCAGGAATAGCAGTTTCTTTATGCAGGCAACCTTTCCCAGTTTCAAACTGCACATTGTATGTGGAGGCATTAAAAGTTTTACTGACTTTCCAATGAATCCAGAAAATGCCTGCCTTGCAAACAAGATACAGCGTTTATTTCTTCTCTTAATTTGAGAACATCATCTTCCCAATGAAGTCTAAAAAAAGCTGAACAAAGGATGACTTTGTTTCTGTATAATTCATGGAACCTCTGCTGTCGAAACCTTTTAAACAGTTATTTTTATTTAAGATGTGTAAATTTCAAATCTTTTTTTAATGGGGTACATAAATGACATAATAAATGTTTCTTTCCAAGATATGGTGCATAATGTATTTCACAAGCAGTTACTGAAATGTGATAGGTTCAGTATATGAATAGCATATTTTATGTAAGTACAATATGTTAACATAGTAAATAATAGAATTAAACAAGCTGTAATCTAATCTAGCTCTTTAGCTCCTTAAAGCTATAGGGGTGGGGAAGCTATTGTCTTTTAAAATTAAAGTTCTTTTTAAGTATTAGCAGAAGGACGATTATTTGCTGATTCTGTATCAAAATTCTGTTGAAGTGTCTTTTGTAAAAATTGCAGTCCAAATCAAGTGAGGTTTTAAACTAAGTTAGGATGTCAATTTAATATGATTGCTTGGGTTTTTTTAAAGGAAAAAAATCTATATAATATTATTTTGRATAGTTAACATACAGTATTTCAACAGGGGAAGCACTGATTAGATCATCACAATCTATTTTATGCCATCAGGATTGCTGAGGGGGCTTATAATTGTGTTAAATTTTCATATTACTCATATTCACACATTAATGAACAGATGCATTGWTACTATTGGGATTTTGCCATTTGGCCTTTCACATCTCTAATCATGATTTCCTACTGAGATCTTTACCGTTCTCGCAGAAATTCAGTCATTGATACATGGCCGTCCACCGCATACACTACTCCCCGCTCGTCTGTCCGCGGCTCCCCGGGCATCCCCGGCGGGTTCGAGTTGCGGGGATGGAACGCGATTCCTCCTCCGGGGGACTCCGGCACTGGGGGCTGCACCCACAGAGCTCAAACTCCCCCCGGGAAAGTGACACCGCGACCGTCCCGGCGCCCCTCCCCGAGCGGCTGCGGGGCGGGCCGGCGGGCAGGGAAGGCAGGGAAGCCGGGAGGCGAGCAGGGATGCAGGGAAGCGGGGATGCGGGCAGGCAGCGGCCGGCGCAGCGGGGCTCTGGCAGCCCYGGCGAGCGGCTACTGTAGCTTTAAGGCGGCAAGTTAGACAGAAGACTTGTGTTTCTTTACGAGCGCACCACGGCGAATATTTTGTCTAGCCGCGGGGGAAAAGCTTTGTCGTGGACTTTGCTGACAATGGACTTAAAAGTAAGGCGGGCTGCTTTTGGTGCCTGCAGGCTCTGGAGCCCATTGTCAGCTCACAATGGATCCCTATTGCCGCATTCCTGCTTTGCAAAGGTTTGTTGGCTTTTAATGACTGACAGCTCTCCGCCGCAAATGCCGCATTTGCTCCGGCCTGTTTACACGTTGCTCCGGAGTTTTTAGAAAAGCGCAGGAGAATAAAAATAATAAAAATAATAAAAACAAACTGAAAAAAGGAAAAGGGGGTTGTTTATCTGACCTATGCACATTGGGAAAAATGATTTCCTTCGTGGGTGCTTCGAGGGGACGGACGAACTTCAGCAGTAGCTGCGCAAGTGCCCGGAGCCCGGCGGCGCCTCGGGCTCGCCAGCCCCGGCACGGACCGTGCTCCGTGCGGCGGCGTCTCCCGCCCGCATCCCTAGGATTTAATGAGATTTAGAGATAAGTTTTAGAGATTCTAGCAGAGAAATCGCACTCGGGCGAGCCCGGGGATCAGCACAGGGAGCGTCCGCGGGTGTGCAGGGGAGATCGGGGTTCTGCAACGTGAATAAAAATGTCACGGAACACAACACCCTCCTGTGCTGTCGGTGGCATCCGAAGGTTGTTGCTGCGCTCCCGATGGGATGCGGGAATGGGACTGTCCCCGGCRCGGGTGTTTGTCTGTCCCTCCGTCTGTCTGCGCACAGCCGCGTGCGAGCAGGGGCGAGGGCGATGCGAAATGCAGGAGASCATCCCCATTTCGCTGCCACTGTAGCTGCCCGTGCATTAATAGTGCCCTGCGGGTTGGGCGGCGGGCTGAAGGGAGCCCGGGCTCGCTCAGCMCCCCGGGAGCGGCGCGGGCTGTGCGGGGAGAACCGGCCGGCACAGCCGCCTCGAGGAACCGCAGCGCCTCCGAGCTCCAAGCTGGGGCTTCAAGAAAGGAGGCGGAATTAGCCAAACGAGATAATGAAGGTTGCTCATAATGGTTTTTACTGTGGGGAAAATTAACCAGTTGCTAATAATTGTATGGTCTCTAGGCCAGACGGTCCCTTTGATAAGTTAACATGTACTCCCTTTATGCTCCTGGTAGGGGGTAAACAAATGCCTGAACAAATACAAATACACATAAACACGAATGTGGAGAATAGCAGTATATGTCTTAGATCCAGATAATAAGTGTGGGTATTGTTATTTAGATGGCACATACTGGGACACTTATCTTTTAGTACACTCCATTTTCTAACTGAATGCAGTGCTAATCGTGGGATTGAAAGCTATTGTAATTGTGTACCCATCTAAATGCTGACAAGAATATACAATTACATTGTTTGGAATTGAGTTTAATGTTCTCTGAATTTTATTAGCATTTATATTTACTTATGCATTAAAATTCTACACAAAAAGAGGTCAGAACACAAGAGTTACAGACATAAATATCAGACCCATCCAYACCCGCACTGCATTTTTTCCTGAAAATACTGAACAAATATATTTTATTTTMTTTTATTTTTRAAGGAAGTGATAGAATCTGAAATGAGCAAATAATGGGTTTCCATTCTAAGCAATGCCTTTTCTCTCTCTGGATTTTGCAGTCTTTTAAAGCCTTTTTCCATATCCAACTTTTTATTATTATTTATAATGCGCATGTTACCGGAAAATCTTTCCACAGTGTGCTTACCACCACACGATGTTTAAACACACATTATAAAGTGGATGTAATTGTAAAGACTCAGAGGGATATAATTACATGTAGCAGATTTAGGAGCTAATTCTTTGCTTCTCTCTCTCTTTCTCTCTCTCTCTCTTTACTCCGCATTTTATCAACATAATTATTTTTTGACTGCAGACTAACACCCAGAAACTGACAGGCATCCATTATAGGCAGCAACTTGTTCACCAAATTGAAAAACAATGAGTTACAGGTTTATGTGTGCCCATTGTCATACAGAATTACCGGAGCTTTGTTCCACTAGAGGAAAAAGCTAATGGTTTTGAAACAGCAGGTGACAAAACACATTCAGTTTTTTCTTTTTTTTTTTTTTTTTTTTTTTTTTTTTTTTTTTTCCCTCCCCTCTTATCAGTTTTTTGATGAAGTCATTATGAACTGGGGCCCAGAATAGGGTTGGCCTTATTTTTAGCAGATAGACTTTTAATGAGTTCTATTGTGGAGACAGTCATGTTGATTTGCTTACATTTTTTTTCCCCCCCTTCACTCAGAAACTCCCAGTATTGAAAAGCTACTATCAAAGGACTGGAAAGACAAGCTTCTTGCCATGGGATCAGGGAACTTTGGAGAAATAAAAGGTAACGCTGTTTCTGTGCTAAAGGAAATTAAGAATGAATATACAGATGCCACTGGCTTTTGGAACTTTGTTTGTCTGCTCCTTTTCCCCTCCCCTTCAAACATGGTAATTTGGGGTTTAAATGAAATGTATGCACTCCCATCTGTGATAATATAAATCAGTGAAATGGTATACTGCCCTAAGTGAATGAATTTACATTAAGCTTTTGTTGCATATATCGTTCTGTGTTATAAATGAACACATCCTATTGCTGGATTGGGAAAAAAAAGTCAGTTCATGTATCAAACATATGTGGTATCAGTATAGCAGAGCTCAGCTTCTGCAATCTGAGGGTGATCTGAATTCCTTGTTAATCTTTTGACAGATTTTGATGATGTGAATTTTTTCCCCCTATTTTTTTGCATGTAGAAAAAATAAAAAGAGCAAAGTTTGTGTAATGATACCTCTAGGTACTGAAATTAGCCAGTGCAGATTTTAAAAGACAGCGTACAACATCTGTGCACTAAAGCATGTTCTTTTAAAGCYGTGCTCCAGAAGGAAAATGACAAAATTTGACCACTCTCCAGCAGCAGTAGCTTCTGCTTTGCCAAGATATTTCCCCATTTTATATATCTGAGGTCATTTTAGGGAACCTGTAGTTGTTTGTTTTTGTGTAATTTGATATTTTTATAATTCCTCTGCAGTGCTTTTGATGAGGAACTGACTSAAAATACACATGTCAAAAATTGTAAGTTTTCAGAGCAGCCATTATCACTCTGAAAAGAAGCAGTGACTCTGATTCTTCTCCCATTTATATCAGTGTACATCTGGAGTAGCAAAATCCAAGCCAATGTTGTTTGGAAATGTGAAAGTACAATGAGATTAAAATTAAAYCCTTCTTTTGTGTTTATAAACTAGATTTAATTTCTCTCCATTATTTTTGGCATATTTACTTACTAATGTTTTCCCTGATCTAGACATCCTCACTCAGGCAGGCTCCCAAACCTCGTGCCTGACAGGTTTAAGGACCTTGTGCATAAGAGGTGGGCAGTAKTCAGTAAAGCATACAGCACAACTTGCTCTCAGAGGTTAATGGATTGGTGCATGTGCAAAGTGTTATTTTAATTATATGGCCCTTCCAGCCTGTCACCGATAAGCCACCAGTATTAGTTTGTGCTACTCCACTGCCTTACACAAGTAGGAAAATATGCCACTTGTTTCCTCTGGCTTCTCCCTTGGAGGCTGTAATTCAAAAATATATATTCATTATATATATATATATAATAATTTCATAACAGAATATAGTGCTCCAGCCCCCAATAGGTTGAGATATTATTATTGTTATAACAGAGGGCCAAACCCTGCATTCTTCATTCCCTCTCCATTTGTGTAAAGCAACAGGTCATGAAAAGGAAAGGCAGCCACTGGACTTACCTGGCAGTTCTAGRTTTTAAAAGCATATTGTTTTAAAATAACATCATCTTTTGCCATGAACAGATGAATCTTTAAGATGTTTTGGGGACAAAATATGAGGAGATGTCTTTCATACCCACTTTTGGGTGTGTATTTCAGCTGATATTGCGTGTTGTTTGGAACCTCTTTAACTCTTGATGCACTGGAGTCTTTAGAAGGACTCTCAGTGATTCTCCAGTGCCTTTGGACTCCATAGAGCTGCTCTGAAGAGTGCTGTGCTCTGAGAAGGTGGTCTGTTCCCAGTGCCTATGATCTTGTTCTTTTGGAGGGCAGTCTTTTTTCTCCCTTCCTCTTTTTCCCTTTCACAAGCTAAACTTGAAAGCAGCAGCAGCCAGCTATATGCTACCAAGAGAGAAATTCAACAGTCCTTTYAGTCGTGCCTGGGGGGGAGGATGGGGAGCAACAGCACAGTCTCAAAGAAGACTGTTCTTTGCTTTAATTTTTGGTTTTTAGCTTCATATTTTGAACACAAGTCGAGTTATTGTTCTGTAGCYCTGTTCAAAAGCCTCAGATCTGAGGCTTTTTAGTGCAACTGTGGTTCTATGGTTGGGGGCATGGTTATTAGGTGTTTGGATCAAGTTTGGCAGTAAGCTGTGAAAACAGGCACTGGTTTATTTTTCCTACTGACTGCCGTGACAGTTGCAATTATTGTCCATTGTTCCTAGGTGGCTAGAAAGGAGGGAGGATACAATAGAGCATTGCCCTCTGGGGGTAAATGAATTTGACTTACAGATTCTTGGGGGGTCAGGCAGGCTGATTATTTAGTGCCCAGGAATGTGGTTTTCATGGCACCATCAGCCGTGAGCTCCGACAAACAATGGCTCAGCTGTATTGCAGCTGTATTTAGTGAGGCAGCAGGAAAGGTGTGCAAGTTGAGCTGCTCTGTACCCACATACGTGGGTACAAACACACATCTATTATGCTGCAAAATGGTTTTGTACTTCTGTAGTTAYGAAGTTTTCCAGTTGTGATTTTTAAATTAATTTCTCTCTCTGTATTTGGCCTGGCAGCTGCGTTTTTTCCGCCCCTCATTTCTCTATTAACAATATTTGGAAACCCCCACATAAGTAGTGTCTTATTATTAATACACCCTGGAATGTGGACAGCACTAGAAGCTGCACTGCCCAACTGTCTTATGCACTGAATAGTTTTTTCCATTTAACTGTTCAAAATTTCATTGTGTTTTTCATTAGGTCTGGGGGAGTTTTAGTATGTCATGTGCTAAAGTCTCAGCACTMGGCTACATATTTTTAATGCCCAAGTCTGTTTTATTACCATCGAGTTTTATTCTCTTGCAGAGATTAAAAGAAAGGCAGATGAAGAGGAAGACTTTCTTTTCTATTAGYGTGATTTCTTTTAAGTTAGAAAGCAGTAATATTTTATTAAACACAGGGGAATTGGTGAGTGGTTGTAAGTCACCAGACTCCCATGTTTTGTATTCAGTTGTTCCTCTTAGTTGCTTTGTTACCTTTGGCTGCTACTTTAAGCTCCCCTTTCCTCATCTGCACGCCTGTAAAATGGRAGAAACATCGCTGAGTATTTGCAGAGAGCCAGCTGCAGACTTCAAGATCACAGTTAGAAGGATCTCTATATATATATATACACAGTTACTAATTGAAAATGAAATGTACTGTTTTATTCCAGGGCTTGACTGAAAGGTACTGCAAAGGAATACTTTTAAAATGGAGCAAAATCTAGAACCTTTCATATCCATAGAAATCACAACTCAAATACTTGTGTTTGTTCAGAGAGACATTCTGAGGCTAGATTACAAGTTTGGCACTAGAGATTTTTCAAGAAATTCTGTTTTGATATCCATGGAATTTTTACCCTGCTCAAAACAAGTGACTCGATAGTAAAACCCACAAAACGTGCTGTTAAATTGAAGTATTTTAAAGTGAAGCTGTAAAGCTGTATGTTAAATTGGTTAAAGCCTGTTCAAACTTACTTATATCCRTCATATTCAAAACCAGGGCTCAAAAGGCCTCTGGATTTTTCATGGATAATGCAGTTTATTGGATTCAGTGGAGCAGAGAGATCTTCAGGTCTCAAACCAATCATCTACAGGAGGGAAAATCGTCCCCTTTTTTCTGCTGTCAGTGTAACTGCCTGGTAGCTGTTCATTGCAGGGGGAAATTCAGGGCTGTCCTCCAGTGTTACCTGGAAAAGGTATAAAAAAATACTTCTTAAATGTCAGTGATCATCCATATATATATAAAATTAACATGAAGCTTCTCTTTCACTGGTGCTGGGCCTCAGGAGGTGTGCTGGCCCCTCAGGTGTGTCATGAGTTGTCCAGTCTTGCTCACAATGGGGTGAGTGAGGCAGTTTTAGCCACTGTGAGAACTCTTCTTAAAACTTCCCTGGTGCGCACAAAGCCTTGCTGCTAATCTTGTCCATCTCTCTATTGAGAGTTGTCAAGACATAATAATGCATATTTTATATGTTCTCCACTTAGCTAATTTTGAATAGGTGTGTGGAACAAAAGGCTAAACAGATTTTCGTTTCCAGTCTTTCTGCCTTTGTTTTCTGGTGAAGGCATTGTTAACAGTGATTGTGCCTCAAGAAAGACTGGGCAAGTCTGAACTTGATACATTTTTGTTKTTGTTTGAAAAACCTTTCCTATTGTGCAGGTTAGTTCCTAAACAACTCACTGTGAATGGGATTGACGTTAGGTTAAAATCAGCTCTTCATCAGCTCTCAGCATCCACTTAAGTCTAGGTGACTCCAGAGGCTGTGTTGGAGTAACCACAGATTTATGGGTGTAATTGAAAGCAAGATTAGCCTACCAATCCTGATCATTAATTCATGATAACACAGACATTTGTTTTGTGTGAGAAACTGGGTTCCAAATTCCATGAAGTATCAGTGCAGGTATTGTGTCAGGCTGTGTTTGATGTGAGATAGAGCTGTGTTTGCTGAAGACTCTGATTTTGCTCCTGTGCTCGSAAGATGGGGCATGAGAGAGTATGCAGTGAACAGTTTTAGGACTGCCAATAATGGATAAAGAGAAATAATCCATTCAGTGATACTATAGCTCATCAGAACCCATGAATTAAAGACATATGTTATGTAGATTCAATGTATGGATTAAAACGGATAATCTGGTAGGTGACACACAGAATCTTGAGATAAGTGAGCTATGCAGATTCGGTATATGGATTGTGACGGATAATTCCATTTAAGTAATGCTGGACAAGTTGAAGACAAGTAAGCTTCGGGTAGTGCTCAGGTTATGTGCAGTAATCCAGTGAGTGACACTTTGGATCGCATAATCTGTAAACTGATGACAAGGAAGCTGGGGATTCTGCATTTAGATGTGGACAGGAAGAAGGAGGGGGAAGGGGAGAAAGATTATTCATGGGGAATACACTGGGTTTAAACCTTTGACTAATACAGCACAGATCCCCAGGAGATGTGTGAAAGCTGCACGCTTTCCTTAGGAGCTGTGTGAATTTTGCATTTACAAATTAATAGTWCAAAAATGTTTGCAAACTTGTGTCAAATCTGGGTGTTTTGCATTATTTTTTGGTGGGCACTGTTGTAAGT